ACGGCCACTCTGAGTTTAGAAATGTTAACTTTGAGTCTCTTTCTGTTGACGTTTTAAATTCCAGCCGATCTCAGCTGGCTTATATATTATTTTGGACTGGATTGGGTTAGTTTTGGGTTAGTTTGGTTCATTCCTTGTCAGTTTTGGATCAGTTTAGGTCAGTTTTTGACCAGTTTGGGTCAGTTTTTGACCAGTTTGGGTCAGTTTTGGACTGGTTTGGGTCTGGATTGGGTTGGTTTGGGTCAGTTTTGGACCAGTTTAGGTTTGTTTTGGACCAGTTTGGGTCAGTTTTGGACCACTTTAGGTCCCTTTTGGACTGGATTGGATTAGTTTTGGGTTGGTTTGGGTCAGTTCTGGTTAGTTCCGGTCAGTTTTGTAACAGTTTTGGTCTGTTTTGTTTCATTTTTGGAGCAGTTTGGGTCGGTTTTTGACAAGTTTTGGTCCCTTTTGGGCTGGATTGGGTTAGTCAACCAGTTCAACCAGCTCAAACAGGATTTTATTTCTGTTTTCTCAGAGCTTTTGGTTCTGTAATTTAAATAAAAAGAGAAACGTGTGAACTGTCAAATTTGTCCTACCAGGGGAGGATAGAAGGTTTCATTTTTACCTTCAGACCACAAAAAAAAGGACTGTCTGGACTCATCTTTGATCTTATTGGGCTTCTCCAAATGAGAATCCCTTCAGAGGACACCTGCTTTGTTCCTTAACTTTTAAACTAAGTTAATATCCCTGACGTTTTTTGGCAAATACTGAAAATGAATCAGCATTACTTTAAAAAGCCCTTCCCCTCCAACTGATCTGTGTCAGTGCTCTGTAATGTAGTTATTTTTTTATTTCCACACCCATTTAACATGATGTATTATGATATGTTTCCATATACGTGTGTATTACAAATGTATTATTATCCATTTGATGCATATCTTATAACGTATCTGTCTTTTTCTCTCATTTGCTGGGGTAAATCCCAGGACATTTAAAGTGAAAACGCATGAAAACAGGATTGTTATTCACAGGGAAAAGCTGACATTTCAGAGCTGACTTTTATTGATTGCAGAAGCTGGACAGAAGAAGGAGAGCAGAGTCTGTTCCTGATTTATTGTTGTTTTTAGTTTTTTTACTCAAATCTATTTAGAAATCTGCAGAATGAATTTGCCTCATTTGCCTCTTTTATTTCCCATTTATAGGCAAAAAAGAGTGTTTTTTCCAAGTTTCTCTTTACATTTAACATTTAAACATTTTAACATTTAAACATTTAAACTCTTAACAAGTTTCTCTTAACCAGAGTTTGAGACCCCTTCAGGGACATGAAGTAGACAGTCGAGAGGAAGAAAGTCGAGGCACTTTTTCCTTATTTATTGTTGTTTTTTGTTTTTTTACTCGAATCTATTTAGAAATCTGCATAATGAATTAGCCTCATCTTTTTTTGTTTCCAATTTAGAGGCAAAAAAGAGTGTCTATTTACAAGTTTCTCTTCACATGAAGTTTTACGCATAACCAGAGTTGAGACCCCTTCAGGGACATGAAGTAGACAGTCGAGAAGAAGAAAGTCGAGGCACTTTTTCCTTATTTATTGTTGTTTTTTTACTCTAATGTATTTAGAAATTCCCACACATATTTATCTCCAGACTGAATTATCCTCAGCTTATTTTTTTTAACCAATTAAGAGGCAAAAAAAGTCTTCTGCCCTCTTCAAGTTAAGGGCAATATATGAAATAATGAATTAAATTAATTAAAAGTGTTTCTAAGAAGCTAAGCTTTTGATTTCTGTGTTACCGTGGTGACAGAAGGGGGATTGTTTTCTGGTTACAGGATGAAAATCTTCATATATTTGGTCAGCACAGCCTTGTAAAGTCCATCTTTAGGGGTGGTTAAACTTTGGTTTTCTGGACAAAATGGCTCCTTCAGGCTTTTTTCTTAAGGGTCTGTCAAACCCAGACGATGGAGGACTAACGTGCCACTCAGAGGGTGTGACTCAGGTTTAGTTTTTTATTTTTATGGCCTTGTTACCCACCTCTGAAAATCCTTTTAATTTCCCCAGAGCAGCGTTCCTGCATCAAAACTGCAGAGTAAGGTGGAGCTCCTCTACTCCGGACCACATCGATTATTTCTTGTAACAAAGATCCCAGTTTGAGAACCAGGACCAGAGGGTTCTGGGTTGGAGTCCCGGGGGGAACCAGGACCAGAGGGTTCTGGGTTGGAGTCCCGGGGGAACCAGGACCAGAGGGTTCTGGGTTTGAGTCCCCGGGGGAACCAGGACCAGAGGGTTCTGGGTTGG